GGGTACAAGAAAAGTTTGGAAAGCATTAATCAAAGAAGATAGAATCAATCTCTTCAATATTCTCAAAGAAGAATAATCCATGAAAAACTGGTGTTTATCAAACAACGCTAGAAGAAGTGCGCCCGAGCCAGATAGAGGACATTGAAGAAGAACCAGTTGAACAACTTTGAAGATCAACGAGACCCAGACAGTCAAATCCTAAGGATGCTAATGATTCCATTATGAAAGATGTGAAGGAGCCATCTAGCTTTGAGAAAGTATATAAAATTGTTGTAAATAGGTGTTAACTTCAGAGTTTGCCAACTAATATTAATATCTATAAGATTCAAAATTTGTGCAAATTCAAGTGTTCTTGATTCAAATTTTCATTCTAAGTGTTGAGAAAAGAAAAGTTCTGAAAGTGCCTTTATTCTCATCATTCTAAAAGATTGTTTAGGCATTATTCAGAGAGTGAAAAAATTCCTAAGCCACTGCTGCACTTCACATACACTTCAAGCCTTATAGGAATTTGTGTTCTTTCTTCAAAGAAGATTTCTCTCGGGTGTGAGAGAAGATCTCTTGGTTTAAAGATTGTTTGTAATTTGCATGGTCTTGCAAATTGGTCAGGTTTAATTTTTGATTTTGTAATTGGTTTCAAAATCATAGTGAAAATCTCAAATGAGATTTGTTTAGGGACTGGATGTACACCCGAGTTGGTGGAACCAGTATAAAAGCTCTCGTTTGTGATTGTTCGGTTTCTGTGATTGTTGTCATTTGTGCTTTCAATTTATAACTGATCTTGCAAAATTTTTAGATAACAATATTCAGCGGCTATATCTTGGTGTAGCAAAAGACAATCAATTGTGTCATTGTCAACTACAGAGGCAGAGTACAGATCAACAGTGATGGCAGCTCAGGAAAGCACGTGATTTTTTCAGTTAATGAGAGATCTACATCAGTCCACAAATCGACTACTTGGTAGCTTTACATTGCGATAATCAATCTGCAATATGATTGGCAGATAAGTTTTTCATGCTAGGACGAAGCACATCGAAGTACATCATCACTTTCTTCGAGTGAAAGTTCTCCAGAAAGAGATTGTAATTGAAGCCAATCAGGACAAATGAACAAATAGTTGACAGATTCACCAAAGCACCGAGTACTTTAAAGTTTACATAATTTCAAAGTTAGCTTGGACTCATGGATAGAGAAGTCGCTATTAAGGGGGAGTGTTGAAAGCAGTAGCTACCCCCACCTAACTCACATAATCATTGCTACAATAATTAACAACGCCCTAATAGTGTATACCTACCTCATAAAAAAGCCTATATATACCCCCTAAGTTTGATTTGTAAGTCATACAAGCAGCAAAGAAAAACGAAGAGAGAAATAAAGGAAAAAAATAGCGAGTGGTTGTAAAATAGTATAGTAGTTTGTAGTAGAGAAAGTGTTTATATTAGAAAGCATTGAGTTTGTACGACTAAAAAAATAATAACAATATATTTTTTAGTATTCACCAGCCTTCTAAACTCAACAAAAAAAACTGCACTCGGATGTTACGTATTGTGCATCTTTGTGGGGGATTTGGAATGAAGAAACAATAGACTTTTCATCCAGAAATCCAAACACGCTCTTAATGTTCTGGTTCAAGCTTAGTAGTAGCGTATGCAGGTCCGAGAGATGGTGCTACTCAACATCCATGGTGGACTGAACTGTGGTTTAGATGGGAGTTTTAATTTGTAGCTACTGATGATTAACTATGTTAGAAAGAACAATAGATGTGGACATTTTTTTACCTTGCTGTATATACGGAAATGGCTTTATGCTGGTCATTAAGATGTAAAATTTAATACTCTTGGCCATACTTTTGGTGTGGGGAGTATGGCTTAAAACGTACAACCACATTTCTTTTCTTTTAATATGCAAAAAAGCCTGGGAATATAATTTCCATCGTATTATCTAAATTAAAAAAAATTCGAAAAAAAAGGATAGAGGTGGAAACTGGTTCCAACAAAAACAACGAGCCTGATGATTGAACGGGAACCGAGTTGTGCTCAAACCGCTGTATTGTCTCCCTTGTTGTTGATTTTGTAATTATAATTTACCCCTTTGGGCCGGTGAGAAAGTTGGGATCATGTGTTAGTTGTATTTTTTATTGGAGAAAGGTCTTTGTTATTATAATCGTGTGCCTTGTCTGGTCGAATATTCCTATTGACCTTGGTCGTCTGCTTTCAAAAGTTGGATGTTCTCCTCGTGGCTCATGCCCAGAGAAAAGATTAATCTAGCTACTAGCTAATTGGAGTTCACGTCAAGATTATTGATTAAGATCACCATAGAGCTGTGTTAAGCCCGTGTTGTAAAGTGGGCTACTTGTTAAGGTGGTCAGTTTAGAGGAGAATATTTGGATGAATAATGTAAAGTGCACAAAAATATTATAAAGTTTTTCATTTTGACGATAAAATATCACAAGCTACATTTTTATATAAACAATACTATAATTTTTTTAAAATTTGCATGCTACTACCATCAATCATTCTAACGTGGATGAATGTTTTTATGTGATACTTCCATACTTAATTTTAGAATTTTCTAACTAGTAGTAGTTGTTAAGATTCTTACTAGAAATATCCCAACTCTATTTTAAAGTAGAATTAAGATACGTTTAAAAAACTGTTTGAAAATAAAATTTGGTTGATTTAATAGTAAATTTAATAAATATTATCAGTTAAAACCTCTAAAATTAGCATGAAAGTATCATAGAAAGACATTCAGGTGAAAAATTTTATGTTTACATGATTGATGATCATAACGTGCAAATTTTGGAAACTTTATGATGTTTTATTGTACCAAAATGCAGTTTTTTTTTATTTAATAATTGTAAAAAAGAAGAGCTTTATGGTTTTGTTTTCCAAACGAAACTTTTATGTAATAGATCAAACAATGAAGAAAGTAACATTTATCTCTCAATTTTAAGTGAAGAAATTCATGATATCTTTCTATTTTTAACTGGCCTTCTCAATCGATGCAATTAATGGTTTCAAATAGAACATTCCTAGAATAAATGCACGACTTAAAAACCACTTAATGTGTATGATATTTATGTCTATATGGTACGTGCGCATTCATGTGGTGCGCATACCCCTAAAGCGTTTATATGATTGTTGTTTTTATTATCTGTGATCATCCCTGCATAAAGATGATATCTCATAAGTTATGGCTGGGTCTAATCCACTTTTAAAGATATCTAACACCTTTCTTTTGCAATAAATTAAAAATTAAAAAAATTGATATGATTTTTATCCGTGAGACCATTTAAGTATATATTAAAAATATGCGTGAGATATACATGCACATAATAAATTAGTACTACAATTAGAGTATGGTACACGTACACCATTGTGTTTTACGGCACGAAAGGAAAATGAAAAAAAGAAGAAGAAAATAGTCAAAAGCCTTGCATGTTGATGAACCACTGCGGGCAACCCATCACAAGTGATGTTTGATCGTGGGTGGGATAAAAAATATATCCATTTTTAACACAAGTGAGGTTTGATCGTGGGTGGGATAAGAAATCTATCCATTTTTGAAAAACAGCGTTATATAGATAAAAGAGTGAAGAAAGAATAAGAAAAACAAAAATGTTCACCTAAGGAAGCTCCAAATCTTCAAAAAAAAATCTATAAAAGTTATGCAGAGACTTTAGAACAGCAATTTAATAAAAGAAAAGCACTTCCAAGAGAAAAGAGACCATATAAGAATTCAAGATATGCTTGGCATCACAAAACTTAATTTGGCAAAGTAATATATTTGAATACAAAGTTCCTAAATCAAGGATCCAAGATTAGGGGGGTGTTTGGTTACACAATTTTATAGAAAATTTTTCTCAAAATGTCTGACAATGGTAATTCTATAATTAAAAATTTTCTGTAGATTTCCGTAAATTGTGTTTGGTTTAAAAAAATAACAAAAATGTTTTCTGTAAAGTATAAAAATGTACAGAAATTAATTTCCTCTCAAAATGGGCGGAAATCACCAAAAAATCTGATACCACATTGACATTTTTCTATAAAGTCGACCATTTTCTATAAGGGCCTGTTGGTTTCACCAAGTTTATGGAATAGGAATGGTATTTGGACCTGACAGTGGCGTTTTCGTAATTAATGGAATCCAACTGAATCCTAATCCTGAGTTTGGTTCAAAAAAAAAAATTATAGAATTGCTATTCTATAAAGTGGCTCAAATAGTGGTAATTTCAGGAAACCCAAATCTGTTTTTTTTGAGAGGAAGTGGGCGTGATTTCTGACACCTCTCCCAATTATTATTCCAATTCTTATTCTGATTTCTGACACCTCTCTCAATTCTTTCTGAACCAAACATGGCATTAGGAATTAGACCAATTCTATAAAAGTGAGATTCCTAATCCTTTGGGTGAAACAAACATAGAATGCAAAAAAATGGGATTCCATAAAACTAAAACTTGTGTATAAATTTTATATGGATTAGGTTGGAATCCATAAATAAAATAGGATTCTTAATCCTATTCCTAGCCTCTATTGAACCAAACAGACCCTAAATTTATGGGGTGTTTGCTTTAATTTCTACAGATTATAGAAAATCTTGCTATTTATATAAAGTTATGGGTCATTTTCTTATTTTGAACCAAACAAGCAAAGTAAAAAAAAATTTGCTACTTTTTAACTTCTCAAAACTTTTCCTATAATTTTTAAAGAAATATAAGGAAATCATATTCTGGGTGCAAAACATTTCCTATAATTTGTAGAAATTGAACCAAACACCCCGTTAATCTAAAATTATGATCTATTATTCCCCGATTTTTTCTTTTTTTTAATTTCTTATAGAATACAGTAATTGTCCGAAAATTAAGATTTTCTTTTAGGAAATTATAAGATTGTAACATAAAAGAAAATGGAAAAACTTCCGTATCATCACAATTAAGGAAGCGCAATTTCTGAAGAAAAGCAGGGAATTTTAGGAAAGGCCCAGGCCGTTCCAGCTGCTCACAGTAACTTGTCAATCAAGCAATTCCTAGCTTCGACCATCCTAAGAAAAACGCCCTTTTACCGAAAATACCCTCACTTTATCTCTTATTCCCCAAAAAAACCCACCGCCTTAACCTCCTCTCATAAAATCTCGCCTCCCCCTTTTATTCTCCTCTCCAAAACCCTACGATCATCAGATGCCCATCCGCTCCTCAGATCGATTGCCGGAACCCTACCGGACTCCGTTAAGAGACCGTCAAAAATGACGGAACAGCAACCCTCTGCCTTCTTCCCCGTCGTCTTCTTCGACGGAGATCGCGATGTCGACATCGGGTCCATCGCTGTCACCGCCTCCCTCGATTTCAGGAAGTTTCAATCGATGATCGCTCAAAAGATCGGAGCCTCGCCTCATCAGATCTCGATCTCTCTGGTTCGCCGAAAGAAGGCGCGATCGTCGCCGGAGATCCAACGGAAGGTGCCGATCGATGAATTGACGGATTTCTCGGCGATTGCGCTCGAGCGAGATTGCTTCGTTCTTGTTGTGAGGCGGGGATCTAGGAGCGGGCGAAGAGGCCGAGGACGGCGAGGGCGCGGTGGCGGCGCTGAGAAGAAGATGGAGGCGGCGATCGATGTGGTGCCGGAGATGACGATCCTGAAGCGGAATCATCAAGAAGATCGTGTACCGATCGGATCGCTAGGGTTTTGGGACTACGAGGCTCAGCTGAGGAATCTGCAGCGTATGAGAGAGAGGTACATGATGTCCGCTGCGCTCTACTATCCCTACTCGCAATCGCCGCCGGCCCTTCTTTCGGAGGCGGAGGTTACACGTTGTCTCCGCCGGCGACGCCGCCGGCCATTCTTTCGGCAGGGCGGAGCGTCACGTGTGTTCTCCGCCGGCGACGCCGACGCGTTTTCTTTCGGGAGGCGCGAGCGTACACTTGTCTCCCGGCTCGCCGCCGGGTGTTTGTGCGAGCGACTGTGCGCGGAGGCGAAGAGGGCCGGGAAGTCCGCCGCGGATTTCACGGGTGCGTTTATCGATAGATCACCGTCGGGTTTCAGGCACTGGCTGGCCCATCGAGAGGCCCACCAAGAAGAATGCTGAAGCTTCTGCTTAGGCGGCGGGGGGCCTGCCAGATGCGTGCGATTGGGTTCTTTTATTTACTTCTAGTAATTATAGCAGCATTACTTTTTTTTTTGACAATTTCACTACAGTAAATGACAGCTCGGAGATATAGGCTCTCTTTTTTGAAAGACGGTATCGAAATCGATACAGGGTATGAATTTTTGGGTGTTTTTTTTTTTAATTGTGAAGGGGGAGGCTTCCTTCCGATTGTTATGCGCCTTTGTTCTTCTTCAGCTAGAAGAAGGGAAGAGAAGGTGAAAGGATACGAATAAATGAATAGAAAAGAATGTGAACAGGGTCGTACGTAGGTTGATTTGGTTTGTGATTATATGGTGCATTTTGACTGGGTACGAGTTTTGAGCGTGGGCTCGACTTTGTAGAGAAATTTGGCAAGGGTAATATTTTTGTGTTTGTGGCTCTTAGAATTTGTCAATTAAATCGGACTTGTTCTTTATGCATGTCATCTTGAGGGTAAAAGACTTGCTCGTGATGCATATCATCCTCTTATCTGATTTAATTTGCGTTTTGTGTTTTTGCTTTGGCCTTCCTTGCGTTATCTTTTGGATACCCGTGAATGTTTTTAAAAACAATTTATTATGAAAAGATGGGATCGGACATGGCACGCGAGATGATTAAGTGTATTAAGTTTTGCATTAATTTGTTAGCCCTTTCCTTTCTAAAAAATGAGTTAATATAAGGATTTTCTTTTTGTAATTGGAGGAAATATTTTCTGTCTCGTTATAATAGTAAAACTATCATTGTGATAAATGCTATTTCCCCCATTTATTCTCGAGAGTAAGTTGCAGGCATAGCAATAACACAGTCAAAATCACAATATTAGATAATTGGATATTGTTGTATGTCATCGTTTGATTTTTATAAGACGAGAATTGAAATTCGAATATCAGTCAAAAAAGTGTTGTTTGTAGAGAAGAGTAAGACTCCTTGGCAGTCCACCGCAAGGGTTAAAATAGAAAAGTTTAAACAAGATTCGTATCTGATGCTTTTTATATTTAAAAATTATTTTGCACGTCAATAACTGTTGTGATTATGATGTATAGTACTACCAATCTATTGCACTTTGCAAATAGGTTCAACTAGTTAGATACACATTTATGAAGCCATTACAACATTAATCGATCCACTACGTTTCATTGCAAATTTCTCCTAAATGATTATTTGTGAAATCATCCTCTTCAGATTCAAATTGGTAGGCTTTCCTATATGTTTCTATTATATATTGATTTTCATGTTTGGTAAACATGATAATGAGTCAATTTGAATTTTAATTTGTATCCTAATCACGAAATTAAGTATGAACATAAAAACACTTTTTGTTTGCATTTATTAATAGATTCCTTGGTTGGTTTTTTCAAGTCGTGAAGTTCACAATTGATGAGAATGTTTTAGACCTTCAAGGAGTTGTATAGTTCGTTAAAGAGGGCGTATCCTATTTTTAAGAAGAGGGTGCAAGATTGATGAACAACCAACTTAATCCACAAGAGTCAGGACAATCGAGCTCCTAATTCTCTGCCTAATTTATTAACAACTCAACAGCCCATGTTTCCATGAAATATAGTTCAAAGGGTTAATTGTGAACAGATCCCCTTTTACTATCAGCCGATTGCAAATAGGCCACTTGTGGTTACTTTTGTGCTGATAGATTCTTGTACTATATGTCTAACTGTGGATGCAAATATATATATATATATATATATAGAGAAAAATGGGTATACTTGGTACCAAGGATCCTTGGTAGTGATGTGTTTGTCAAGTTCCTAAATGTGATATTTATTCATTTAATTAAGTTGGATTTCAACTATACATTATTGCATTGCATATTTTACATTTCTATCAAACGTACACATAAGAAGGGAATGTGTGACGAGGATGCAACATATCTCTGGAATTTTGTTAATTGGTATAAATCCAGTAATTTTAATATCTCTCTTTCATTGTATCTGTGGGAACAAAAATAGATTGGTCTTAAAGTTGAAAATCTCACATAAATCTAGCCGTCTGCTTTATCATTAAGGCGCTAATATCTCAGCTTTAAGTGGACGTTTCAAGGTCTTATAGCTATTAATAAATTGGGAAAAAGAATTCAGGAAATTACAACTCTTGTACCCAGGCGTTTCCTCTGGGGAAAAGAAAATAAGTTCAACACAAATGTTGCTCCAGGCTAAAAAGAAAACTACTTGGCCGGTTGAATATTAGAAATTACTCTTCCTCAAACAAATTTTCTATAAAAATTTGAAGGGGTTTCTGCTTATAAACGAAAATTATACTTTAAGAACCACATAAGCCTTTATCTTCTCATAAACCCAAGGTACAAAGTTTACTTATCTTTAAACCCGAAGCATAGAATATAAAGCGGATAGATATACAATAGTGTGTACGGCTATTAGGCTTATATATGAATGACAGAGTGTATAGCTGCATACTATATGGATTATAGGTACATGCTGTACAGTGCGAAACTGCATACTATCTACTCCTCTATATCACCAAAAATTCACGATTCATGCCACAGTAAATAATACAATACTATTATTACTGTAGCAAACTGGATAATGCATCGCTTTGAAAAAGTACCACTGTAGCACATGTGAATACTGTAGTATTTTTTAAAAATCTTTAAAGCGGCGGGAACTGTACCAATTCAAAAAAATTAAAAACATATTGTAGCATTTAAAAAATCGGGAATACTGTAGCGAAAAAAAATATGATATGTCATGCTTTGCACGGTGTTCACGACTAGTAGAGTTTAAAACTACAAACCTTAAAGTATGTAGCGATACAAATTGTATTCTATATTTTGCATTTAAAGGTAAGTTAACTTTAAATTTTGGGATTCAGATTCTCTTGACTATTTTTAAAAAAAAAAATCTGAGAGACTACTTTTATATCAAACAGTTAATTCGTTTCATGAGTGGTTGTTGGCCTGTGAGTGTAAATTAGGAAATATCATGGGGGTATAGCGAGTGTTAGATTTAGAATGAATTATAACTACCGACGACATTAATCAATGGCTATGATTAATATAGTGGTATCTCTACTACTCTTTTCTGTAGTTGAGAGGATTCAAAATATATATTTTAGTTGTACAACATATAAATGCATATGCAACTAATTACTGGGTTTTCAAGCAAATGAGGGTATAACTATGGATTGGTGAGTAAAAAAAATTCCGAATTTTGAATTGTGACCTATCAGAGCACCACAATGGATAGACGTGCATTAGTGCATAAATCTAGTGATTAATATTTATTTGGTGTTCATTAAATATCATAGACCGTCCTCATTAGATACTTAAAAGATGTGATATATAATTAATAGTCGCAGGTGGTAAAGGGTACATTGGGAATAACAAATTTTTTATTTATGATGCAGATGATCCTAAGGGCAAGTGCAGCAAGCTCCCAGCCCACCTCCTAAGACTGAGGTGGCGGTGGGAGCTTGCTGGACTTGCTCCAGCAAGCTCCTAAGGGAGCTCTTGAGAGCTTCCGTGGCACAAAGCCCACGGAGCTCCCAAGCGCTCCACAAATTTGTGGAGCGCTTGGGAGCTCCAAAGCTATTAAAAAAAAATTTTAACAAAAAACTCCTTGCTTTTGTACCTTTGCAATAGAAGAGAGGTTTTTTTGATAGAAGAGGGGTTTTTTTGATAGGGTTTTTTGATAGAAGAGGGGTTTTTGATATTGTTGGAGCTCCTAACTAGGAGCTTGTTGGAGCTCCATAAAAGAAGAAGTGCCTTTCAAGGCTTAATTTGTTAATTTTTTATTCTAAAATGTTTGAGAGCTCTTGAGAGCTTGCTGACTAGGACTCCCAACTGGGAGCTTGCTGCACTTGCTCTAATACTATAAGGATGGTTCTGATAAGATTGCTGGTGCGAAACAGGAGAGAGTCCGAAAACTATGGGTCATTAATCTAGTGTAAGTTCCAAAAGCTTAAGAGCCCAACAAAATACAAATCAGTGGCAAAATAAAATAGATATTCCAATGCCTAATCCTTGTCCAGGTGTTTGTCTCGTGCGCCAACAAAAAATAATACAGAAGGAAACAGCTCAACATTTGCTGGATTTAACAAACTCCTAGCTACTAAAATCTGTTGGCTCATTTAGTTTGATATTTCTCCATACTCTTCTTCAACGTGGCTAAGAAGAATCCCTCGTGTCTCTGGTCTATCTGGGCCTCACGTAACTTTCGCACGCTAGCTATAAAGTTGTAGTTTCAAAGTAACAAGACCACAAAGAGGACCCTCTGTGTTGGGGTTTGGAAAGGACCATTAAAGAAAATGGAGTAGTCTAATTTATTTGGATTAATTGACTTAATTCAATTTTGGGACCCATCACGTCTTTTCTTAACATGAACTTTACACAACTGAATAGAATAGATGAAAGACAACTTCCTTCCACTCTTTAAGAAATTATATGTAGATTTATTTGTCTTATTAATTTTAAGGGAAAAATATGTTAAGGGCCCAAAATCAGTAAAGTGATGTGGTTCAGTCCCAGCAACTTTTTTCCTTTGCTCTTTAACCCCAAAAAAGGTAAAAAAGTGTGGCCCAGCCCCAAAAGTCGACTTTTATACATGCACTCTATGTATTTTTCGAAGTCTACAGAAAATGCATTCATCTCTTACCCAGGAAAATCTTCCCCTTAACCCATGGAGCCGGTGATCGCTACCATCGCAATTAACGCGATTCGACGACGAAAATGGAGGGAAAAAAGCGCGGGTTCCCTCCATTACTAGGCTAACTCATCATGGGTTGTGTATTTTATGATTTTATCTCTCACTCTCTTATTTATGATATTAGGGTTTTTATTCTTCAACTTTCAACAACCCCTTGTGCCCTAAAAATTCTCTCAATTACTCATCATAATTGTTCTCATAACTTTCAGCAACCCCCAATGGCCGCAAAAGACTTGATTTGCATGGTGTCGTTAGGCGATAAGGCTATATTCTTGATGCTCATATCTA